AGAAAGGCAGAGCCAGTGCCCAATTACTGGAGAACATTCCATGCCTTTGCCCAGGTTCACTTGGGATGAAGTGGACAACTTAATGCAGACCCTAACAGCCGACCCAAGCCGTCAGCTTGACCGCACCAGACCCATCCTGTGGTTTCTGAAAAATGTACTGAGCGTCAGTTACGCGCCAGGCACAGGGCTTCCCACGTACTGCTTTGTCGTGCCACAGCAGTCCCCTCTATAAATAGTAACTTCATAGTTTTAGTTTGGAAAGTGGAAACTGAGTTCCTTATCCACGTGGGATGTGAGGCAGAGGAGTGTGTTCGATTCCAGAGCCTTCGCCTATTCAATACTGAAATGGTCCCATTTTCAGATTTTAAAAGAAAAATGTGTTTTGATCAGAAAACAGTCTCAAATATTGACACAAGGGCCAAGGAATTTCTCTGATAAACCGTTTAGAATAAAAAACTGACAGCCAATTTATCTCCTAGTGTGAAAAGTTGGCTGGCTTTTTAAATAAGTGGAGCTAATGGTATGTGAAAATTGTCACTTTCCAAAATTACTGCTTGGTAGCAATTTTTCCAGAAAAGTGTCTCTAATTCAGTATTAGTGCAGGCCATAGCGTTGTGCTAAGCATACAATTTCAATCACGTTGAGAAACTTTAATGGGAATCTTTGGCAAACATGTTTACATATCTTTAAAATGCATATGGCAGCTGAAAGAGAAATCTTCTAAATCACATGGGTGCTTAATTAGATTTGGTTCAGTTACATTTCATTGATTTTTATAGCGAATACCCGTGACATGCGTCAAAGTTTTCATTTGGCAAACCACAGATAAATCAAAGCACAAAAAGTCAGAGGGCACCACATGACAGAGGGCCACCCACAAGGGACCACAGAGGATTACACATACGGAAACCCAGGGAAGTTCTGACAGATACGGAGCACAGACCATGCAAGGGTGCAACAAACATTCTATGGAAAGACAGTTACTGGCTTTCACACCTGTCTTTTCAGAATCGTCATTTGCCCATGAGGACAGTGCCTCTAGATTCTGCGACTCAAGCATGCACCCTCTTCTAATCGTCGACGTTTCTTTCCTATTGATTTTATGGTCCATGCAACTCCCGCCTCTCCGTTTGAGGATCACAGACTAGGACAACTTTGGAAAGACTATACACCAAAGCCTCCACGTGCATTGCGGTGACAGTCTTGAGAGTTTACACTAAGTCGCCTATGGCATGTGGATTAGCATCTTACCGTGGTCATAACCCTGATGACGCTCATGAAAAAAGATCACGTCGGTAGAGGGGACAAGCAGGAAGTGAAACCAAGCACATCAGGTTACAGCAGCTCTATTTTAGCTCAATTCATGTCATCACCAGTGGTCACCCAAGATCTAGAGACACCAAATAGGGCAGCCAATCAATTGACCTCCAGGGGAAGAAATGGGGAAGCGTCTCCTTGTTTTAACCCTGCAGGACAAACAGAGTGAATCTGCAGGGGAAAGTTGTTTATTTCCTCACCACGTACTGCCTTACTGACCTGAGAGGGTGACTTTGGAAGCACACCTCCCCAGGGCCACTCTGCTGTTTGTCTAGCCCTGCTGTGACCTCGCTTAAAATCTGGCTTCCCTTTGGATCTCCACTCTATTCAAATACTCCTGGGAAAGCACACTTCGCTCCTGTGTTTCTTCTGGAACAGAGCTAACATTGCTCATTGCCTTTCCTGATGTCAACCGTGTTTATTTGGCCTTTCCAGTTCGTTGGTCATATCCTGTGGGTCAGATGGGCCCTGGGATTGAGTGAAACTCAATACTGTGTAAACTGGAGGCTGCAAAAATTCAACAGATAAGGTAGAACATACTATAAAGCTAAGGAATGCGTCTGTTTATTACTTTCATGTCTTTGGAAGGAAAAAAGTATTGATTGTGAGCACATGGGTTGAGCTCCAAGCCCCTCATCACAGCTCCCCAGAACAGGGCGTGGGAGTTGCCTTTTGCACCGACCTGCCTGTTGCACAGAGAGGATCACCCTGGGTAACTCCCTGTCAGCTTGGGAGACCTGTGGCTCTTCAGAGCCAACTGTGGGCTCAAAGGTGTGTGCTCAGGTGCGGCCATATGGATTGCCAGGTGGTCCATGGAGGGTCAGAAAGCACTACCAAGACAGCGGCCGTGGCTTCCCCTCTCAGTTGACTTTGGAAAAGCCACTGAACCTCTCTCTGCTTGCTGCCTCCCTGGCAAGTGTACACAGTTAGACTAAGTGCCTCCCAGAGTCAATGGGTCCACCCGCACTTCAGCTGGGAAGCAACCTTGCTTCTTTAGAAAGCAAATTCCATTGCGATTCTGCATGCTGCTAAGAGAGTTCAGATAAAACACAGAAATCCGATTTTTAGGGGAAGAGGCAGCCCCACAGGCCATGGTTAAGCTATGAGGTTGGACAGCGTCCTGCCTCCTGAAATCGGATCCACAGACAGACAGGGCCCTTGCAGGGGAGTAGTGGCAAGTCGCCGGCCAGTTGTCCCCTCCAGGGCCGGTGTCGATGGAGACCGTGCCCTACACCTGCCCTTCCCTCCTGCCCAGCCGTCACTCAGACCGGACTCCCTCTGTGAAGTCTCCCCTAGTCATGGGTCCGGGAGCTCCTGGGCCTGCACCACAGCCGCAGCGGCTGCAACACAACGGAGCATTTGGCTGCCTTTGGTCTGCGCCGCTCGTTCCTTGTCGCCGTGCGTTATTCTCGTCTTAGGAGCTCCTCCAGGGAGAAGCCGGGTCTTTAACGTCTACGTTCCCTGTATCTGAGTGGGTAAGAGAAGGTCACTAAGTTCGTTTGATCGCCTGAAGGTAGGGGGTTGGGGACAGAAAGCCAGTGTATGATTACAAGGTAATTGCATCTGAACCATTGTAATTGCCGAATCTGAGCCTTCATCCAAGTGTGAACTACTGAAAACCAGTTTTTTAATATATTTCTGCATACTGTAAAATCACGTGTAAATTTCATATGAAAATGTTTGGTTCCCAAGCACTTTCCTTCTTTGTTTAAATCAATTCTGTCACCAGCCTGGTAGGATTTTACAGCCAAGGAAACTAAGGCTCATGCAGGTGAAGGGCCCCCCCCCAGCCCCACCTGCCCAGAGTCACACAGACACTGCAGGCGTCCATAGATTTATCTTTCTATATTGGGTCTTTTTCACCAAGCCGCAGATTTTTTTCTCTCCAAAAATAAGATTGAATTCTGATAAATAGAGGGAACTTGGCAGCTGGAAAAATTTAGGCCTAAACCCTGTTTCTTTCTGAGTTACACATTTTAGAGATTGAGAGTCTTCTAGGGAATGTGTGTGTGCACGCGCGTGTGCGTGTGTGTGTGTGTGTGTCTATGTGCGTGTGGAACCTACTGCTCACAGAGGCCTTCTTAAGCAGAAGTCATTCGTGATCGTCCTAGAGCCAGTGAGCCCGTGCTGGTGGCATGCACTGCCCTGGGCCGGCTGTGGAGGGGACACCCAGGAGCAAAGGCAGTCTGTCCAGGAAAACCACTGGCTGGTCACGGACGCATGAGTGCGTTTGTATTTTTCCTTCCCTCGGTTCTGCGGCCACTGGCTGGATCCAAGTCCCCATCGATTAGTGGGGTGTGGAGCTGGTGGGATGTGCACGTCTGCACACCGCCCCATCACTGTCCTGCTGTCGGTCTGGAGAGGGCTGTCTTTCTTGGCCTGCGTGGGAACGTGACCCCAGGCTCCAGAGGCAGGCAGGCCCCACATGCGGGGCCGTCAGGAAACGTCCACGGCCTGGCTCTGCTGTTGGACCAACACCGCGGCGTCTGCCTCCAGCCGCCAGGAAGGGAGTTCCTGCTTCTGACTAAGAGTCAAAACACTAGTTGACTTTTAAATGATTCCCTGCTGCTTTTAGAATGAGAAAGTCATACCAATTTAAGTGAGAAATGGTATTTCCTTCACTACCATTTCCTCCGTAAGTTTCAGTTTCTAATAAACCTAATGGGAAGGCCATGCAAAAGAAGTAACATTTAGGGTGTACAGAGAGGTTGAAATTAAGCCAAAGGCCTGCCTCCCCCTTGCTGTTGGCAGTAACCTAGCCCACCCTTAGGTTATCAGTCACCTCCTGGTTACACCCGAAACAGCTCTGGCCACGTTCTTCAGTCAGCTGATGACCAGCACTAAAGTGACCCAAGTTCAGGTTTATAGCTCTCTCTCCAAGTATATAACTATGTTCCTAAAAGAAAGTTATCTTTACTCTGAAATTGGAAGAGGAAACTCTCTAGAAAGAAAGAAACTCAGGTGCTCTCCCTAGCCAGTGTTTCTGTCCTAGACCTTTAACACCCACCCTGTAATTCCAGCACAACAAAGAGCCCAAGGGCCCAAGGCCATCCATTAACCATCAGGTTTCCAGGATGGAGAATTCCGCAGCAGAGGATCAGGTGAATGGACGCTTGAAGTTCATTGTCATCGAATTTCATGACTATTATTACTCAGAGGGAACTCGAGCAGGAGGTCAAGCATTTCGGCCAGACAGCACCACATGTGTATCTGGGGCACATAAGAAAGTTGCAAAAAAAAAAGTGGCATTAAAGGGTCAATTTGGTGAATGACTAGTCGTGCTGGGAGGAGCTGACGCCCATCCTTTGAGGTGAGGTCATTCAGATCTCTGCTCACCTTGGACCAGTGAACAGGTCTATAAGTACCCAACACTGCCTGAAGAATTTAACGTGATCAGCAAAGAAAATTCCTCTTCCTTCAAAGTGGTAAAATATAACCGGCAACATTCGAGTTAGGCCAAATCATCCCGTAGTTCTTCCAGTCAGTTTCTGCTTGTCTCCCTGGTTGCTTCTGGGGACATTTTAATCCACTGGAGTTTTGCAAAGACCATGGCTTCCTAAGACCCTTTTCCTGCACCTTGTGGCAGGAGGCTGTCATGTTATTTGAAATATTAAATTAAAAAAAACAGCTGAACTGTTTTGAATGGCAGGATAGCCCACAATGACTGGATCCGTGAGGCCGTGTGTCAGGTATGCATGATTTTATTTCAAATGTGTCCAATAAGATTGTTCCACTTGGAATGAACATTTAACCTCTTTCCGCACATTATTATAAACAGTGTTTCCTCATTTCATGGAGTTTCTTAGAAAGTTCTAAGTAACTGAACAAAAGAGAAAATGAAATTGTGGGGAGATAAATAACAGAAGTTTATATCATAGCGAGGGCGCTCACGCATCCCAGCCTTGGGGACACACCAGTGACTACTGGGTCATGCAAATCGTCGTACAGTCACCGGGCCTCCTTTGGCAGTTCTCGCATTCCCTGTCACGAGCACACATAAGAAAATGAGTCAGGTGACTTCAGCAAATGGGACATTGTCTTTTGCTTTTGGTGGTAGGTTGACCAGCAGAGAGAAGACAGGAACACAAAGGTCGTAGGAGCATTTCAGGATAACGGAAGAGACTGTCTGCATCCGACCGCCGAGGATGCTCTGAGCCCCAGGGAGCCCGCCCCCGGCGTCTGCACCATGTGTGCGCCCTCCGGGCCTGAGCACCCCCACTTTCACCCCAGGGCGCTGGCACCAGCGCTGGGAGCACGCTGTAACCAAGTGGGCAGTTGTGGTTTTAAATCACTAGAACCTGGCAATGTTACATTGCTGTTTTCATGAGCCAAAGGTCACAGCACAAATGAGGTCTACATGTCATCACACAGGGCCACAGAAAGACATGTCTTCAAGTTACATCGACCTGCCAGAGAGAGAAAGAGACACCGAGCCCAGCGAACATGTGCCGGTGATGCGGGCCGTACCTATTACATGTGAACGGTGCCACTTACGTGTAAACGGGTCGAGCAAGGGGCGTTGAGTTTCCTGCCTGCTCTTTGGAGCTGCTGTCATGGAAAGAAGCTGAGAGCAAAGTGATGGGGTGGGGAAGGGGCAGGCGGGCAGGGGGATGTCACCTTCTCGACATTTGTTCTAAAGTGACTTAGGGATGATCATTCATTTATAATCGAAACTTAATCCCGAACAGCATTTGCTCCCTCTTTCTCTCTGTAAACACATCTGATCATAAATAACTTAAACGTGTCCTTGGCATTCAGGATTCAGTTCTGGCTGTAGTAAAAAAGGATGAAGGATGCTCAGCGTAGGGGAGGAGATGTCGGGTATCTGTGAGTGGAGAGGTGGCTTAAGCGTCTAATGCATGTCGCAGACATCAGCCATCAGAGACGGGCGGGGTCACCCAGCCGTATTTTTCGTGAGTCTTCACCAAACTCTTAAAGGTGGCTTCCGCTTCCTTGCGACTGAAGGACTTTTTTGATTTGCCGGCTTTTCTACAGATCCGCCCCTGCATGAGAGGAATAGAAAGACCAGGTTAGAACCCAGCAGTATCCCGATTCCCGCCCTCTCTGTTACAGACCCACAAAGCGGCGGGGATTTCTGAATCAATCCGATGTAAGGAGAGACACGGAACATCACAGCTTTGGTACAAAACAGATGGCGGAGTCCAGTGGTCGGCAAGCTTTTCGGGGAGGGAGGGACAGACGGGCTGCTATCTTCACAGACTCCAGCACTGGCGTCCTCCCCGGAAGGCGCTCCGTCCCTGAGGCTGGAAGGCAGCCCCGCTCCCGCTCCCACACCGCGCTGGGAGGATCAGCTTTATCAAAAGAGCATCAATGCAGAACAGAGTGTGTTGTCCTGGAGGCAAAATATTGTTCTAACTTCCCTTTCCTCCCACCACAGAATGCCTTTAATTATAGCTCCCAGTCCCTCTCCCGCAGCAGTAGGGGTATGTGTTTATATATAGATGTGTATATATATTCACACATACATCTTAAAACTCTGACATTTTACTTTCAAGCTCAGGGGCAATCAGTGACTTTCTTTTTCTTTTTTTAAACATTTTTTTTATTGAGTTATAATCATTTTACAATGTTGTGTCAAATTCCAGTGTAGAGCACAAATTTTCAGTTATACATGAACATATATATATTCATTGTCACATTCTTTTCTCTATGAGCTACCACAAGATCTTGTATATATTTCTCTGTACTATACAGTATAATCTTGTTTATCTATTCTACATTTTGGAATCCCAATCTGTCCCTTTCCACCCCCCACCCCCTAGGCAACCACAAGTTTGTATTCTATGTCTATGAGTCTGGTTTTTTTGTATTTATGTATTTTTTTTTTAGATTCCACATATGAACAATCA